TAGTTTAAGCATCCCACTCTTGATTTCAGCTCAGGTCATGATTCCAGGATCATGAGACAGAACCCTACCCTGGGCTCTGTGCTGAGCATGGAGCCTGCTTGGGATTCTCTCCCTCTTTCTCTGCCCCTCCCCACCTCATGTGCACACACACCTTCTCTCTCTCAGAATAAATATTAAAAAAAAATCAGGGCTCTTAAAAAAAAAGATCAGGATTTATTAGTATTTAAGCATATAGTATGCACTCATGTGGTGGCTAACTGTATCATTTTTGAAGCTTTGACTTTCTACCATCCCACCTATTGAATAGAACCCCAACAAGACATTCATTTTATACTAATTGCAATTATTTCTTTAATCCTTGTCCCCTTTAAACCAAATAACTGACCAAGGGGAAAGGACCTCAAAAGACAACTTACTGTTTCCGAAGATTTTCATCATGAATTTTCTCACATGGACCTGAAAAAAAAATGAGAAATGTAATGTATAAATTATTGGGGATGTTAACCTTTCCTCTTGCCAAAACAAAAGAAATTTCTTTAAAAAAAGATCCATTTGATCACTGAGTAGTCTGTACACACCTAAATTGGGCCTAATGAATCACAAAGCAATGTGCCCAAAGTAAACACATAAAAATTGTTCCCATTAATCTTCAAGATCAGTATAACGGAGAGCAACTATACAGTAAGAAGAAAGAAGAGGGAATGCATGGAAAGAGAAATCATTCCTACTGCCACCCAAGAAAAAAACTGTAATGAGGGCCAACCTGCTGATCTTTTACTAATTTGGGGCATCTGCAAACAAAGCCAAAGAGTACAAGAATACTGACCTAGTCCCACCCCCACCCACCTCCAGAAGGCAACAGATTTTAACCACGTCACCTACGCCTTCCGGAATTTATTTCCATATTTCTAAACAATTTTGCCTTTTCCTGGTTAATCTTAGACATCAAAACTTTAGGTTCAATAAACACTTTATATTTTGACTATACAAGTACTATTACTTGCTGAGTCCAACAAAAGGAGCATTATGAGGACTTATGATATACTTCGTACTTTCGCTGGAATTCTTTTCATTTGCTTAATTTTCTGTATCTCCAAATTCTTCTCACTTTAATTCAGCTACAGAAATTCCCTCAATACTAATTTCTCTCAAGATTCCAAATCTATCAGCTTCAATTTCATCCCTGGGCTTTCTGTTCTGTTTCAATCCAGCTGCGTATTTTCTAAACTCACTGATAAGAGTTGTCATCCTGAGAGGTTCCTTTTCTGGTCTGCATTGGATGCAGTTTACTGGATCTCTTGTTTTTCTCCTTGGTCTTACACTCATGTGTCGGTGGAATTTCCAGAGAAAAGAATCATGGGAGATAAATTTGCTGAGATCTTGCATATCTGAAAATGTCTTTTTTTCACCTGCAGGCTTTGATGTTTGGCTATATAGCTAACCCAGTAAAAAATATATTTTCACTCAGAATCCTGAGGGTGTTTCTCCAAAGTCTTCAAGCGTCCAGTGCTGTTACTGACAAATCTGAGGCCATTCGGATTCATAATCTTGTGTGCTCCTGGCCCACCCCCACCATTCTGAAATTTCAGTGGTGTGCCTTGGGATGGATCTTTTTTCATCCAGTGTGCTGAGCATTTAAAGGACACGCTCAATCAAGAGACTAACGTCCTTCAGTATTGTAGAATTTTTAATTTGCTCTCTTCTGCTTTCTCTAGAATTTCTAATTAGTGTTGGACTGATACAATTTTGTCAAATTTTAGTATTTTCTGTGCAATCACCCAACATTCCAGCAAATTTCTTTGACTTTATTCTCAAACCTTTATAGTGATTTTATTCAGATTTCTCCAGTCCTAATTTCCAAGAGTTCTTTTGTTTTTCAAAAGGTCCCTTTTTATATAGCATCCTATTTCTGATGTCCTCTCTTATTTCTCTGAAGATACTAAATTTAGTTATGACTTTTAATATTTTAGAGTGCCTGGCTGGCTCAGTTGGTAGAGCATACAACTCAGGGTCATGAGTTCAAGCCCCACGTTGGCCACAGAGCTTACTTAAAAAAAAAAAAAAAAAAAAAAAAAAAAAAAAAAGACTTTTAATACCTTTTCTTCTCCTTCCCCCCTTATCTCTAATTTCACTAAACTTTTTTCCCCCCTCTTATTGGTTTTGGTTAATCTTTTGTTTTGAAAGTTTTCTTCAAAGGCCTAACTTGGATTCCTTGGCTGGAAAAACACTTCCAAAATCTAACTGGAAGTTGGTATGCACAGGCAGGGTTTATCAACAAATGGGCTTTACCACAGGAAAATAAGGCAGCAAAATTCTTTTAGGAGATTCCCCAAGGGTCAGTACCTGTAGATCACTTCTCTGGAACTGTTCACTTTCTCTAAAGACTCCTCTTCTCTTCTGCCTGAGGAAAAACATCTGGCTGTATCCTTCTAGGAACAGGGCAGAGGAAGGGAATGGGAAAACCCCACTAGTAAGAATATAGACTTAACTCTCTTATAAGTCTCATTTTTACTCACGACTGCCCTGTGCTATGTCTGGAATCCCAATATCTAGATTTGTCCAGTCCTAATGTGCTTCTGATGAGCTGGGCAAGCATCGTGCTTAATGAATTAACTTCTCTTTTACGTTTCTAAAATGATACTAATTATGTACCATTGTTGGGAGAAGTCACTCAACTGGGTTTTTTTTTTTTTGCAATCTGTGGTTCAGATGAACTACAGTCTCAGTGGTCCAATTTCTCCAGAAAATAACCCCCTAGTATCTCCAGGTTGTGGGGGTAGAAGTCGAATCACCAGATGCACAGGTCTTACGAGTCTCTCCAGGGACATTTGGCAATGCCTTTTTAGATGTTTTTGGTTGTCACACTCAAGGGCTACCTGCATCTAGTGGGTAGAGGCCAGGAATGCTACTGAACGTCTTACAATACACAAGACAGCCCCCCCTAAAACAAAATCATCCAGCTCAAAATGTCAAATGTCAAGGTTGAGAGACCATGAACTAGACTAATTTTTAATTTTCAGCCCCATGACTATGTTCTAGGGTACGTGGTACCTCCAAATCCTGAGCCTGTCCAAGGTTCTGCTGATCACTCACTCACTTCCTTTTAATATTCCCTTCGGCAGACTTTTAGGGTACAGGGTTTCTCTGTTGAGTTTGCTGCTACTATTCCATCCACTTGTCATCTTCCAAAAATTTGTTGACATCTCTAATGTTATCTCTTCTTGTTTATACCTTTCTTGTTTTTAAATTTTCATTTTAGTGGAGGGATTTGGGAAGGAGTGGAAATAGACATGTATGTTCATGTAAGCTACCGTGTTTAACTAGACTGGCATTTATTAGTATAAAAGTCTAAGCCAAGAAAGAAATTATTTTATCAACAAACCTTATTTAAGAGAAAAGTTTTCAGAATTTATAAAGTACAAGTTTTTATTTTAAATCGTAATTTGATATAAGTTACATAGAAAATTTACTTACCAAGATCAGAACGAGTGTTTGTGAACAATTCCGCAGGACAAAAACCACAGAGATAATATTTACAAACCTAGTGAAGAAAAACAAAGGTATTTAAATTTTTTCAGTTGTTCAGTTTTAAAACTATATTGGAAAAGGGTACGAAATAACTATTTTCTCATTTTTTAACCTTCATCTTTCAACCAAATAAGTATAAGAACAGGTTCGTTTGTTAAACCCTGTTAGTTTTTAAATTCGTGACTTTCCAACTCCCAGATTTCACTAAAAAATGTCAGGATGAACGAAGAGTCACCAGAATTTCCTACTATCTACCTTTTTTTGTTTAATGTTTATTTATTTTTGAGAGGGAGAGAGAGAGAGAGAGGGGGAGAGAGAGAGGGGGGGAGGGAGGGAGAGAGAGAGAGAGAGAGAGAGAGAGAGAGAGAGAGAGAGAGAGAGAAAAGGGAGGAGGGGCCGAAAGAGAGGGAGACACAGAATCCGAAGCTGGCTCCAGGCTCTGAGCTGTCAGCAAGAGCCTGACACGGAGCTCGAACCCCTGAACCAGGAGATCATGACCTGAGCCAAAGTCGGATGCTTAACGGACTCAGCCACCCAGGCGACCCTCCTACTATCTATCTACTTTTAATCACCGCTCTCCTCACAAAGCAACAACAAATATGGGAAAGATATCCACAAGGGAAAATTTTAACTTTACTGAAAACAAAAAAAACCCCTACACTGTTATCATCGTTCTAACCCTGTTAAAGACCAGAACCAATTTACAGATTAGAATTTGGAAATCACTGTCTAAATTACAAATAACATTCATATAAAGTAATCTGGGTGGGTATTTTCCTTTAAGAGATCCTGTAACAAGCCCTGAAACGCCCTGGATATTTTCACACACGAGCACTTCACTAAGCGACTCCTCATGGGCTCCTACAGTATAAGCAAAGACTATTAACACGAAACTGACTTTTAATTCTCTCCATTAGTACTTACTCTTAACTCCTTCAGATATATTCCAAGACTGCCCTAGCTGATTATTTAATTCTATACACTGCAAACCAAAAACTAAAAACTGTTAAGCAAAATTCCAAAATATCTCCTTCTTTCTTATACTACTTGTTATTAGGTAATTAATGTGCAACACTGAAAGGTATGAAAAGAAAAGGTATGTTAAATTTAAGAGAATTCTTTGTAAATACATAGGACTGGATGTTAAATTTGAAATTGAGGGGTGCCTGGCTGGCTCAGTCAGAACAGCATCTGACTCAGTCTCGGCTTTGAGTTGGAGCCCCACGTTGAGTATACAGATTATTTAAATAAAACTTTAAAAATCAATCAATTGGGGCACCTAGGTCGCTCAAATCAGTTAAGTGTCCAACTTCAGCTCAGGTCACCATCTCACAGTTTGTGCGCATCGGGGTCTGTGCTGATAGAGCGAGCCAGCTTCTGTCTCCCCCTCTCTCTGCCCTTGTCCCCACTGCTCTCACTCACTCTAAAAATAAATAAAAATAAACCTAAACACACACACACACACAAAAGGAATAAACAGCTCTATGGTCCCTCTCCTGACTCTAAAATACAAGTAAACATAAACTTTTTTCTAGGCAGGAAATCATACAATTCTTTTTGGTAATGAAATATCAATACAGTACTTACTGAATCTTAGTTTTAATATTTTTCACTGAAATCAAACGGACCCAGATCTGACTCTGGGCTTTACCTGTGGCTTACCTTTTCTGTAAAACTGGTGATTACTACTAAGCTTCAATGTTTGTCATAAACTGATACATGTTGTTTTTTAAAACTAAAATATTTCTAGTTTACCATAAACCCTAAGTTTCATTTATACAAATAAGACTTTCTCAGAAATAGTAGATTCTTGGGTGCCTGGTCAGTGGAGCATGTGACTCCTGATCTTGAGACCATGAGTTCAGGCCCCACATTAAAAAGAAATTAAAAATAATAAATAAATGTAGATTCTAAGTGGCCAAAACTCTAAGTCTAAATGTTCTATGTCAGTTTTTACATAAAACTTCAATAAAGTATTTTCAATTAAATAAACACATTCTCAAATCTAATTAAGTACTGCATGGGATTTTAATTTAAAGTGGCAGTTAGAGGGCCCTAAAGAAATTGGATCCCAAAGATTACAGGTGGGCATTTTTGAAATATGTCCACATTCAAGTGGAGATCAAAGAAGCCCAACAGAAGGAACTCTGGACAGTGAATTCAGATTGAACAAAAAAGTTCTTTTTCTAAGAGTTTTTTTTTGAAGATAATGATTCTGACTTTGGAGGAACTATGGTGATTGGCAGTGGAAGGAATCACATGTAAAATTCATTAAATAAAAACTTATTGAGGGGTGCCTGGATGGCTCAGTCGGTTAAGCGTCCAACTTTAGTTCAAGTCATGATCTCATGGTTCGTGAGTTCAAGCCCCATGTGGGCTCTGTGTTGACAGCTCAGAACCTGGAGCCTGCTTCAGATTCTGTCTCCTTCTCTCTCTACCCCTTCCCCACTCGTACTCTTAAAAATAAATGAACATTAAAAAACAAAACAAAAAAACTAGGGCGCCTGGGTGGCTCAGTCGATTAAGCGTCTGACTTCAGCTCAGGTCATGATCTCACAGTCTGTGAGTTCCAGCCCCGCGTCGGGCTCTGTGCTGACAGCTCGGAGCCTGGAGCCTGCTTCAGATTCTGTGTCTCCCTCTCTCCCTGCCTCTCTCCTTCTCATGCTCTGGCTCTGTCTCTCTCAAAAATAAACAAACATAAAAAAACAAAAACAAAAAAACTTACTGACTTTAAAGTTAAGTTAAATAAATAAGCAAGCAAGCAAACAAATAAATAAAATGCCATTTAGGGGCACCTGGCTGGCTCAGTCAATCTGTGGAACATGTGACTCTTAATCTCAGGGTTTTGAGTTTGAGCCCCACATTGAGTGTGAAGATTACCTAAAGGAATTTTTTTTAAAAACCCTTAAAAACTAAAGTCAAAGGGGCATCTCAGTGGGTTAAGCAACCGCCTTCGGTTCAGGTCATGATCTCATGGTTTGTGAGTTTAAGCCCCCACATTGGGCTCTCTGCTCTCAGCATGGAGTCCACTTCAGATCCTCTGTCCCTCTCTCTGTCTCTCTCAAAAAATAAACAAAGTGGCATTTAATTTTAGATGACATTTTAATTTTAAAAAGTAGAAAGTGACACTTCAATAATAATTTAAGATTATGTGCTAAAAACAATGCTAGAAATCCAAGAATGAATTAAGACCTACTCTTCAGGAAGATCAGTCTCATCGAAGACAATCAAAAACAAAATATAGTGTACTAGAATATACATGCAACACCAGACACAGAAGTGAATTTAGTCAGGACTGTCAGGTCATCACAGGTGGTGAAGCTTGAACTGGTTCTTCAGTTCAGAAGGAGAAAGACTGTAAGGCATTCTAGGCATAAGGAAAACAATATGTGAAAAAAGATTATGATAGTATGAAATGGGGAAGTGTAAACAGGTATGCTTGGAGAGACAACACAGTGCGGAGCTTGAATCTTGGCTCACACTTATCCATTGTGAACTATAGACTAACTCTTGGTTTCCTCATCTAAAAAAAAGTAGACAACACTATTTCATAGCAAGATTATAATATTTAAATTATATGTTTGTTACATGAGGAGAGGGGACAAATTAGTCTGATTTTTACCATACTGGTTTTTTTTTTAATGGTTTTACACACTATGGACACCAACTAAGACATGCCTACCAGTGGGCTAACCAGGTGCTACCTAGAATTTAGTCCAATCACCCCATTTAAGAGATCAACCACATGACCTGCCCTAAAAGCACCTCGCTATTTACAAAATCCAGATTAGAAGCCACTTTCCTGGGGCACCTGGGTGGCTCAGTCGGTTGAGCGGCCGACTTCAGCTCAGGTCATGATCTCACAGTCCGTGAGTTCAAGCCCCGCGTCGGGCTCTGGGCTGACAGCTCGGAGCCTGGAGCCTGTTTCGGATTCTGTGTCTCCCTCTCTCTGACCCTTCCTCCTTCATGCTCTGTCTCTCTCTGTCTCAAAAATAAATGAACATTAAAAAAAAAAAATTAAAAAAAAAAAAGAAGCCACTTTCCTAATCCAGTTCTATGTGCTCTTTTCCACTCTTCAATTCTCCTTAAGATACCGCTGTAACATGACTGGTACATCAAAATATGTTACTCTAGGGGAACCTGGGTGGCTCAGTTGGTTAAGCATCCATCCACAAGACTCTTGATTTCGGCTCTGGTCATGACTTCATGACAGCATGGAGCCTGCTTGGGATTTTCTCTCTACTCCTCCCTCCTCGCTCATGGGCTTGCCCACGCTCTTGCTCTCTCAAAATAAATACACTTAAAAAATGTTATTCTACCCATTAAACTCTAGCTACTTAGACTGCTTCTTTTCTTTTCCAGGAAGAGAGTGAGAGAGAGCACACACAAGTGGGGGAGAGGGGTACAGAGGGAGAAAGAATCTCAAGCAGGCTCCAAGCACAGCACAGAGACTGCTTGGGATTCTCTCTCCCTCTCTGCCCCTCCACTGCTCTCTCTCTCTCTCAAATAAAGAAAGAAAAAAAAGTTGGACCCTCAACTGACTGAGCCACTCAGATGCCTCCAGACTGGTTCTTTTAAACTCTCCCCAGGGACTAAGGATCTTTAACTAAAAATACTAACAGTCTTTTATTCAGCAAATGTTTACTAAATGTGCATCATGGAGCTAACAATCTGATAACCAACGGTGGGACAGGGAGGCACCAAGGGAGTGGGGTGACCAGGATTCTTGTGATTTATCTTCTTGATAAATCTAAGGCAACACCACTGACCAGAAGAGTTCAATCTCAATAGCATCCTTTAGTGAATTCATCAGCAGTCAAGAGAAAGCAGAAATAATAATCAATCTTGGAAATCTGACTAGAAAATCTGAAACGCAAATTCCCATATTAAACAAAGTCAAATTGTCAAAAATTAAAACAATATCTGGCATTAGATACAGTGCTGTGACAAGGATACTCCAAACATACTAGAGGGCTGTGGGACAATTTGGCAGCGTCCATCAAAATGTAAAAC